GCGTCAAATTTGATATTTTTAATTAACAAAAATTAGACGTTCTTTTTTAAAACTCATTATAGCTCTGTAATTTTGTTTTTGTTCAGTAACATGTGCCGTAAACAATAGAATTATGATTCAGAACTAAAAAGAGCTTCTTTGTGATATGGTTTAAGAAATTATAATTGACAGATTAAAATACAGGAGTAGAAAAAATATTTTATAGAATAATACTACCTCACTATATGCAATAGAATCTGAAACACTAATTAGAAACAATAAAGTCTTTTTCGAAGATGCAAAATCAGTATAACAGTCTGATTGTGTAGACAACACATTGATAACACTACAGAAACTGATATCGCATAGCCATGTCAACAAATTGAAATTGAGCAGGAAGTATTTGAAATGATTGATGTCACATTACATTACATGACGATAGACAAAGTGTTCTGCCATGTTATAATAAGACAAATATGGTAACTCTATACAGACGTAACAGGTCGGCTTGTATGTGTGCATCGGGTTGTTACTGCTGCAGGTTTTAACACATTATGCGGATGCTGATTTTTAACGGCTTCAAAAGGAGGAGGTTCAAAATCGACTGTATTTTGTTTTGTATGTATGTAACGGCATTTTTGAAGCGATTTTGATAATTCTTTTTTTGTTGGAAAAAAGGTACCTCTAAGGGTGGCAAACTAGGGGATGAATTCGTTTTCATGCACTTTCCGGTAATCGATTTCAATAAAACTTGGCAAATAGATGTAATTCCATGAATTTTTGAGGTCTATTTTTATCTATTATTTTTATATATTAACTGCCTCTGTGGCCGAACGGTTACCATGCCGGACTGCCACGCAGAGGTCCCAGGTTCGATTCCCGGGCCGGGAGAAATGTTTGTATGGCCTACAATTATTTCTCTCGCGAGTTTGGGTGTAATTTGTGGTTGTCTATATGTGTGTCCATGGCACCCGCGACACAGGGTTTACCTAGTGCGGGGCTATGTTGAGTGTGCGCGTTATTTATTTAAAAAAAAAAAAAAAAAATTTAAAAAACAAGTGAAACATGTACAGATCTTTAATAAATCTACATGCAAAAGCTTTTTTAATGATTTTGTGACATCATCCTATTTACGAGCCAGACTCTTATCGATAGCCTCCTCCACTCCTCACGGTTCATAGCCTGTTCCTTGACCTCTTCAAAACGGGTCATCTTCTTTTTTATTTGTTCACTATACGCCATTTTTGGTGTTCCTCTCTTTATTTTCCCCTCAATGGAGGATTTCCTCAATTATCACCCTCACAATTAGCCATTACGTTAATTAACCTGCATAAAAACAATCAGTCAAGCTAGACAGGCTAATCATTCTCAAATTTTCTCAAAGATAGAACGACAGATGAGCAGCTTATTGGTTTTGCAGTCTGTTTCTGGATTATTGGTAACCTAATGTCACGACGCGAATATCCGCAATGCGTATATTATAATCTATGCGGATTATCCGTGGATATTGATATTCGTAACAACCCTGGTGTGCACGCCAGCTGCGTGCCGTATACTTACGCACACGTTCGCATAATCTCGCAGAGCGCTCGCGTTGCGTAGGGGGGTCGTCACTCGCACTGTTAAATGGCATCAAATGATACCAAGTGACTGAACGAACAACTCGTGGGCCTAATGGATGGTAAATGACACGTCTGTCCATAACAGTTTATATGGTCCCTGGGCAAGCTCGCTCGCACAGGTCATAGTGCCCTTCCCGTATAACCAAGAGATTGATATGGAGGGGCACTATAAACGAAACTTATGTAGAAAGATTAGATTAGATTAGATTAATGTTTATTTGCCAAAATACAGTAAATATACAGTATTAAATTGGTACAATGTATTCAACCTGCATGCAGGTGTGCAAATATATTGGATTTTATTGGTACAGGTAATTGAAGTTAATTAAAATGTCAAATATTTCTAAATTCAAAGTATTCCTTATTACTATAGAAGCAATGTGTCATAAGCCATCTTGTCAATTGTAGTTTAAAATTATGTCCGTGTAGTAATTTAATGTCACTTACACTTGGTAAATTATTAAAAATCTTAATGCACATGTTGTAGCAGTTATTTGTGTAAATTATTTTATGGCAACGAGGTTGATATAATTGATTCATAATTTTAGGCCGTGTTTGTCTTTGAAATATTTCGCCACGTATTTTAAAATGTTTAGTATTAGTCTTAACAAACACACAGATGTCTCTGATATACATACAGGGGAGAGGTAAGATGTTTAGTTTTTTAAATAGGGGCTTGCATGAATATGAAAACATATGGGACTGTCCATAACAGTTGCACTCAGAGCTTTAAAACGCAAAGATCTGAAGGGCGCAGCGTCAATGCTCTTCGTATTACTGCGGCATAAGTTGACAAGTCCCATGTATCCGTAATTTTACCAGCTCCCTTACTCTTCAAAACTGGAACGCAGTAATACTCACATTATTGCTCGGCAGCAGAGATAGGTAAGGTGGCAGTACTTCCCTGGACGAACTCTTTCACAAGGAGCTCTACTGGTACTGAAAATCGTGTTTATTGTTGTATTTGTGGTAATTTGAACAAGGGTGTTTCAAATTCTGATTTTTCCATTTCATAACCATTACTTTATAATAACGATACCTTTTTAATATCAATCTGCTTAGTGTGCCGATTCTCTACGAATCTTGGCGACCATCACGGCTATTCTCATTTTTGAAGCTGCCACACGAAAGACGGAAAGTGTGCTAAGGTGGAACCAGTCTCTCTGATTCTTCAACTACGAGGTTTTTCTTCTGCCTCGACTACGCTTTCCTTGTATTTTTCCTTCCTTTTTAGTTGAAGAATCCGGTATCTATTGCCCCTGATTACGTGGCCTAAATACTGCAGCTTCCTTACCTTTACAATTCTGAGTATTTCCTACTTTTTTGTCATTTGACGAAGAACCTCAACATTGGTGACCTTTTGTACCCACGATATGCCAAGCATATGTCTGTACATCCACATCTCAAAGTCAAAATTGCAGTTTGGTATGGAGTGTTGGACCTCAACAACACGCAAGAATATCAATACGTGAATAATTATATTAAACAAATGTTATTTTAATATAGCATGGGAAACCTGTAGATAAAACTAAAATAATAATGTAACAACCCTACACTCCGAGCGACACTTCGACTACTTATCTAATATTACCTATACTGTGTCACTATCCTTATTTCACAACACGTGGACAGCTAGGGTTCTCAGAATTTATCTAGAACGATTGCACATTAAAATCTACAAGTGAACGAATCATGTTACCGTCTTAGCAATAAGGTCTTAGTTTGCGAGTTGGAAAATGGATATGTAATTTGAGTATCTTGTCGGGACCTATTGTTATCGTTATTTGCAGACTTAAGTTCATATCGCACACCTATTTGTTCGAATATCGCCTTCAGTGCAACGGAAATCCGCCAATATGTGTAGCTTGATGTGTTGCCATCTGTACTTTGTTTTTTTGTAATTTAAAAGTTTTCTCTATAATCATATCAATCCATTCATATGACTACGAGGTTTCACTAGCAAGAGGCATTTGGTATAGGACTTTACCTTGAAAGCCTAGGTTTGATGGTGCGGGTAGGGAATTTCTTATTTCAGCATTATTCTTAGAGTTCGAGTTTTGTATTAACAATTATTGAATTACCTTTTGGTTTCAATGGACACAATTATTCGGCCTGTGGTCTAATATACTCATCGTTACAACACTATCTAAAATATTTTCTTTAACCGACTTCAAAAAAGGAGGAGATTCTCTATTCGGCTGTTCTTTTATTTTTAACCGACTTGAAAAAGGAGGAGGTTCTCAATTCGACTGTTTTTTTTTTGTATGTATGTTACGCGATAACTCCGGTATTTGTGAACCGATTTTCATGATTATTTTTTTGTTGGAAAGAGGGTACCTCCATAGTGGTCCCATTTCAGTTTGAAGAAAATCATCCACCTCTAAAGTAGGCGATTTTTATTATCTCCTGTGGCAAGTCTCGTATAGTGGCGAACTAGGGGATATTTCAAAAAAACTTAGCAAATAGACGTAATTTTGAGGTCGCTATTTTTTAGTACTCATGTTGGTGTTCTAGCTCTCGTTCGGTGGACTGTATTGTTCAGGTTCTTGATCTGAATCGCAAATCAAACTCTGATTACTAACCATTAAAACCAACCACGTTTATTGCTAAAAATGTTCCTACTTAAGTACCAAATCAACTCTCTCATCTAGTACAGTGGTTGGCGAGTAGGCGGTCGGCGCGGTGCGCGGGGCGCGGGAGGCGACGACTCCGTACGACGCTGTGTGCGGGGTGCGGGGTGCGGGGAACGGCGACGTGGTCTCGGTTGGGGCGCGGGGCGCGGAGTATGTGGCTCGGTGTCCGTAACAACTCAGTACTGAGATTATTGAGAACCGATTTTGATGATCTTTTTTTGTTGGAAAGGGGGTACCTCAGCATTGGTCCCATTCAAATTTGAAGAAAATATTCCACCTCTAAGGGTGGCAAATTAGAGGATGAATCCGGTTTCGCACTTTCCGGTAACCGATTTCTATAAAACTTGGCAAGTAAATGTAATTCCACGAAGGTGAGGTGAGGTCGGTTTTATTATAAAAACAATTATATTTATTTACTTCCTGAAACAAAGTCAATGTCATTGCCATTGTCATTAGAGGACATTATTACATATTTTGTCATGCTAGCTCTTTCTATCTTTATTACTGCAATAAAAATAATAAGATATAAAATAAAATATATACGGTTTAAGATAAGTTATAGGTCATAAACTCGATATCTTTTTAATAATCCTGGTGTTTTCGGCTTAATATATACAGTCTACTTTTAAAATTAAGTGTTAAAAGTACTGTTTTTAATTTAATCGTTTAATTATACGCTCCACTGCTGGGTGTGGGTTTTTTCTGGAAATAAGAAGTCGTCTTATTTATTTAGTGAAATAACAGTGAATTTTATAAAAAAAGGACAATGGGTGTTATAGAAGGAGAAACAATATTAGTAAAGAGAAAAAATAAATTTTCTAAGGTGAGTGGAACAAATCGTCATCTCACTAATTGCCGTATTTAATATTTTTACATTATAACTGAGTAACTATAGCACGTAAAACTTAATCAGCTTTCAAAAGCAAATGTCCTCCACCCACTTGTTACTAGCTCACTTTTAAAGGAATAGCTTTAGAAAAAATCTAACGTTGATTGGTAGGTTAAAAAAATATTTTTAGTGTTGACCGTTAAGTCAGGAGTTAGCCGTTCACTAATGAGTATTTGAGAAGTATTTGTGAAATATTGTATTGTGTACTATTGTTGAAGAATTTAGATAAAAAAAAAACAGAATGGCTAATAAAAGGTAAGTTATTGATATTTTTATTGCATGTGTTTGATGCTGCGGCATAGTAACATTGTTATGTTCTACGACAATTTTAACAGCTTTTTATATTACAACAATGAATAAAACTGTGATTTTTTTGTAGTCAAAGTTGGTGTTCCTTATATCAAACAGTAGTATTATAGGCTATTATTACATTATGTTTGTACAAAGTATTCTTATTTGTTCGCCTGTCCATAACAGCTGCAGTGCCACTCAAAGAATTGACGAGCACTGCCACTACGTCCATCACCTGACACGTATGTTTGAAAGTTTGAAAGTCCCTTCAAAACCAGAAATTCTACTTTCCCGGTCGAACTCTTGCTCAAGGAGGTCTACTGCTACTACAATTGGCTTAGCTTTGGTCGAGCCATAGCGACAGGTATAATGGAGAGCTTCAAAAAGAGCGACGATCGTAGATTTGGCATTTGCCTCGAAGAAATTACTTGAAGAATCTCGCTTTGATAATAACGGGCATGATAAGTTAAAAGTTTTTTTCCATCCTTTAAAGTTATAGGGATAAACAGACAAGACGCAACATTTCCCACAAAAATGCCAAATTCTTTGTACAAAGTGTAAAATCACTTTGCATCCGAATGACTGTTTTCAAATGTCTACACAGGGGGATATTTTTTTTTTTGTTTGTATGTAATGAAAGTTATTCATTAATTTATTTCTAATAAAAAATATAAAGTCAATCTCGTTTTTCATTCAATCCAATATCAATTTTAGTGTAAGAGTAAGCATATTCGTATACTAAGTAATAGTAGCTCAAATTACTATTGTTCTTTAAAATTTTTAAATTAAAAAGAACACCATATTCCGGCTTATCCACAATTTCTTGAATTTTTCGGATCGAATCGGACACTATTCAGAAAATAAAACAATTTGGAAAGATTTTTACGTTTCAGTAACAACTGGGTCATTTAATCGTCATTAATTAATAAGTTTAAAGAAATAAATTTTCTTACATTACGTCTTACGTCACAATAAATTTATTCAAATTCAATTATTCAAGTAATTAATAGACTCAGGCGTTACTTTGCGGAAGTCCATGTTAATGAAAATGGAAGTAAATTAATTGGCTTCTCCGTAAACCCAGTGAAAGTTTAATCGTGCAAAATAGCTGCGCTTATGTTGAATATTTTTTTCATGCAGTTAATTTTCCCACCCTCGAGCAATCAATAAACCCTGAGGATGCCTCGGGTGTATTTTTGATGGTGGTTAGTGACTGTAGTTGCGCTTGTGTTATTTTATTTTATTAACTTTATGCGAGGGGAGGGTGGGAAGCATAACCGCATGAAAAAAGCAAGCGCAGATATTTTGCACGATTTAACCTTCACTGGGTTCGCGTAGTAGCAAATTATTTTATTTCCATTCTTATTTATTCAGACCACTCTGTTCTGTTATTAGGCAGTTAAAATAAAGAAACTAAATCTATGTTACTAACAATATATAAATCACACACATTATATAGGACAGTAACAATGGACAGACACACAAATAATTAAACAAAATAAACACGTTCAGCGTGAGGATTTATCACAACCGATACCCAATGCCTTTATAAAGCACTGTCCGGTCTCTCAGCTAATATCCTCAGTATGCTGTTAGGGCTCCCCAGCATACTGCGTCTCACTAACACAATTTCAATGAAACCTGCCTGAAATTTTCTTTATTGGATAATGAATTCTACGGTGTAGAGAATTTTTTTTCGCAGAAATTGTATATACATAGTTGAATTTTTTTATTGAACATCATATTTCGATATTATTTTGTGATTACACTTTTTTGTTTTATATTAACTATTATTGTTAATATGTGACGAAGAAAATATCCCTTAACATTATTATTGTGACATTGATAATATAAAATAACGACTTTCGATAAGGTCTTCAAGAAATAAATAAATATTAGACAACAGCACTAAAACGTTGCTCTGATTCCAAAATAAGTAACTCAAGCACTCGTGTCATGGAAGTCGAAAACAACGACGGTACCACAAACACCTAGATCCGAGACAATATAGAAAAAATTTTCACATTGTCCCCGTACGGGGATCGAATCTGGGATTTTAGGATGGCGACATCATAAAAACTGGTGTGCAAGCCGCTTGCCCACTGAGGTCGTCAGAAGTTAATAAAAAAAAACGATATGAAACTAGTTATCAAACTCCCGCCAAATCTTTCTCATTCGCAACTTTTCAAACGCACATTTAAACGTTTACTTTTTCTACTCCTGTACTTAAACTTTTTTTGAGTTCCGATTCAAATTCTATTGTCTATGGTACTCGTTACTGAACTGCAATTTTTCAAATAGTACATATTGCAGTTCCGTACACAGAACTATAATGAGTTTCAAAAAAGTACGTCGAGTTTTTGCTAATTAAAATATCAAATATGACGCTACTCAAACGCTCTACTGCCTCCTGATTGGTTAAATTGGCCTAAAGATCTTGCAATCGGGCCAGAAACCTTAATAAAAAATGATTGGTTAAAATATAAGCGGTACTTGGCCACTTTGTTTTTTGTTTTGTAGCGTTTGTTTGGCTTAATTGTTAACAAAGTATACATTAAATATTGGATGTGGTTCATTATTTTATTGACTATAACTATTACTTAGGCCCTCGGCAAAGGCTCGTGGCCTAAACACCTAAAAAAAATCGACTTTAAGAACCCTATTATGCAACAATTACATACAATACTATTAGTAACTCAAACGTTAATTAAGCCATTAAAGTTATAATGGTGCGAACTAGAGATCACCACTTCATGGTTAAGCTATATACATTTTAACTTGCAAACAGGTAACTTTTAGGTTAGATAATGAGATAAAAATATTTAGAATAGACCCGTGTTCGACAGTGATGCTGTAATAAATGTACTTGATATAAAGTTGTAGTCCATAGATTATCACATCATTAGATGTTAGTAGTAATCACGACACAAATTTATAGAATGTAAGTGTTGTAACCATGTTGAGTTTGCCACAACTGTTAGGTAGACTTAGCGCCCAGTTACACGAGGAGAAAGTTTTCGCGGGGCCGCCGCGCGGCTACCACCCAGTTATCACGTCTTCATGTACATTAAAGGCGAATCTCAATTCTATTTACTAAGAGAAACAAATCTATTTACTAGCCAAATTCAAGCCAAACTCGCCCGCGTGCCCGGGACGCTCATTTAAGTTAAAACGTAAAAGCTAAAGAAATAGAGCATATTTTGCTTGACAGTTAGACACACGCGATCGCTGCGCGGCGGCCGCCATTTTTCTCCTGAGTGAAAAGGTTGTGTTATTAATGCAATTTTCACAACTAGAGTTGGCAGCTATTGCAATAGCTCGTGATGACGAAGTATTTGAAACACAAATTGAAACTAGAACAAGAAGATAGTGTGTACATTCTACTTGGAGAAAACGAGAATCCGAAGGAGAATTTGCCATGCTCTACAAAGATTTAATAGATGATGAGATCGTTTTGTATAGTCCAACGTTGTCTACCCTCCGGGTGCCCGGTATAATATGAATTAGCCTTTATTCGTTTGTTTCTCTAATATCAATTTCTTCTTCGACCCACTTAAGTGTTATCTAAAAAACATATAACTATATAATTTAGAAAAAAATGCCTTAAATTCCATAAGGTATCTTTGACAGAGGTGATAACAACACTTATTACACTTATGTTTCCAGAGTCACGTAATCGATGGGGCGCCGACGCTCGAGTACGACGAAAAGCGCGATGAAAAGCCCTGGCAGCGGGTTAATACTCATACATGTTTATATATATTATATTCTCATATGTATTTATTATGTCACTGCTTTGCCTTCGCACTACATCTTTACCATCAAATCGTCAATTCGCCGAACTTAATAAATGAAGGTATGGATGATAAAACTCCATGAAGTGATCCGTTTGAATCTTTAAGTTTGTTTCTACCTATGATCTTTTTAGATAAATTTTGCCAATGATAAACGTGAACAAAATTCTATTTACAAAGAGCAACAGAATAGCCTCAGGAATGGTACATTTAGTACCTGGTGTTTCATCAAATTCAAAATTGCAAGTGTAATTCACATCTGCGATGCAATTGGATCTGTAGTGACTGTTGTATAAACAATTCAAACTTTTTAAAAGCAGTCGAGAGCAAAAATGGTGTAATCTTTTTTAATTTTTTGAAATAGCCGAGTGGATCCTTTTACATACGCCACTGCCGCGCACATGACATTCACTCTAATTATGTTGAATATTTAATGTTTGCTTTACTGTTGTGTAAGATTTAATTTTTATTTCATTTCTTTTTTTGTTATTTCATTTTATTTCTTTTTTAATTTCTTACTGCGTATTTTTGTGTTGTGGCGTAGTAATAAATGATTTCTATTCTATTCAAAAACAAAGAACCCAAAATCAATATAGGGTAGCCTGGTTTATGACGACGCACTTAAGGTTTGAGACCGTGTAGAATGAAAACAAAAATTGTTAGAAAATCAGCTATAGTTTTATTTTATAGTCTACTTAACCGACTTTTACATACTAACGTGAAAAGTAGTTATATTTAATAATGTGGTTGTAATTGATAAAAAAGTGCAAAATGGGATTTGCGTACTCTTACACTGTACTTATGGGTAAGAGTACGCATGTGCGTCGGGAAGAGTACGCAACACCTTTTTTGATAGGACTTCGTTTATCGGTCGCACGAATCACCTCCACACCTTTCTGGTAATGTGATTTTTTTGTCTCGGTATGCATGGGCCTTTGCTCATGGAGAGCTGAGAAGAATCTACTTGTGGCACGGACATACCTCAGTTAGAGTGGTGGTGGTGCTTCAGGCGCACTTGCAGCCGATATATCAGACACATTCGGAGCACATGCCTCAGATTTGTTAAACCTTTAAAAATACTAGATTCTCGCAAAAGTTTTCAATTGATTGAGAAAGAGGCATAACGATAGAAATTTAATTCAGAAGTACACTATTCTAATAAAAATGATATGAGACTACGCGCGTACTCTTGCAACACGTCGAGTTGCGTACTCTTGCACACTTCAGCCATTTCAGAATAAAACTGCTGCTAACCCCGAATGTTGCAAGTGACCATAATCGATTGCAGTTTGACCTCTAGACGAGTTTTTGGGCGATTTCATATAAAATCAGTTAAAAAAACATATGCTTAGTTTAGGCTCAGTAACAATTTGAAAATACCAAAAAGTTTTATGCAAAACATCAAAATCTTCAGACTTAGGTAGTTTATTGGTTTTCTGATATTGGTTTGTTTAATGACACTGAACTTCTCGGCAATCTGAATTGGGTACTCTTATCGGATGCTCCATCCTAAATTCATCTTAGATTTCGTTCATCTTAGACCAGGCTACCCTACGTCTATACTTAATATACATAGTTAATTGAATAACACGTCGAGTATAGTATTACGAGGTCATCGAAATACCTACTGGTGATAATCAGTCGCTTTTTTACGGTTAAAATAAAAATCATAAACACACAAACAAAATAGTCCATTTTCTGAATGTTTTTAGAGACTAAAATCAATCAGTTTGTAAACAGTTCGTTACAACTCATTTTTTCTTTTCTTTCCCCCAAATATTTATCATTATCAGGCTCTATTTATTACAGAAGAAAATTCTTGCAGTCTCGGGAATTTCGGCAGCAACCATAGCGTATTTAGTTTCCACGTTACAAAGGACAAAGTTATAACGTAATGAACGTTATCAATAATTTCGTTATAAAAATTGGTTTATATTCCGCTGTAATGTAAATTGAACCTTATTGGCGGTTATAAGTCAATTGGATGCTGATAAGCAATAACGTGTCAACCAAAATGATCATGGTTACGCGAAAATGGCTCCAAAAATTTTTTCGTAGTTTTTGGTAGTTTGTTCTAAAATTTACTTGTAAAATCAGTACTAAAAAACAGACCTCAAAAGTCATTCATCCCCTAGTTTTCCACACTTAGAGGTGGAATATTTTTTTTAAATTAATTGGTACTACTTGCTTTTGTGCTTGTTGGAAAACTCAGATTTTCCATATAATAAATAAAGAGTTTTCTTAAAAAAAATTACATTTTTCCAAATGCGCGTTAGACGTTTTACATTTCCGGAGTCGAAGTTATACTTTTGGTTCTACGCATCGTAAAGCTACATTAAGTACGCTGATTAATGGAGTTTTCTTCAGGAAATTAAGTGTCATAACCACCACCTTTTCTTGCGGTCCTAATATGCATTAACAATCCTAATTCATCACGTGATAGCATAATATATACTAATTCCACATTGCAATGTTTTATTTATTACCCATTTAATTCTTCATATTTTTGGATTAAAAAATAATCGTAGGTTCATTGTTTTTAATCTACATGATAAGATTTAGAATATTTAAGTACTTATTTAAAAAGTTTTAAATAAATTATAGATAACAATTGATGCATAGTTTGGCTTTTACTTTCGGCTTTTAACACGCAGAAGATCCGGGTAGCAGTTCCCAAGAAGGGATTCAACTCCTGGTTCCTGAGCTCTCTGTATTCTCAGATCTCTCTTCACATTAACAAATTTGTGTTCGAGTTGTCACTATTCGAGGGAAAATCTTAACACCACGATTCAGAAATAACGCCAAATGGGTCAATGCCATCTAGCGGATTTTTAGAGAACTAAAGTAAACAATCTGGCTTAAGACCGTCTATTACATAAAGTAGGTTTGTTACAGTTCTAAATCATATTGTATTTTACAACGATCTCTTTTGCTGCTACTTGCGTATGCAGGTACATTTGAAGTACATGCAATATTATTAAATTGTGAGTTCATCAGAGTTCAGATCTTCTTATACTTGAAATGTTTAAAAACACCCTGTATCAACTTGTAATACGTTTGTTTAAAACATAAGATACAATAAAAAAAATCCTTTAAAAACGTAAATTTTACAAATATCTAAGTGAAAAGGCGATTGTTTTTATAGTTAAAAATCATCGAGTATTTAATATCGTGTATTTGTTATCCTGTATTAAAATTATCGTGTATTATTTATTCCAGGTGATGTACAAAGTCACTAGAAAAGGCACACATTTACATGAGCCCGTTAAATCAGTGAGTAACTTTTGAATAACTGGAATACATGTTAATGTTGTAATGTTTGTTTTGTATTATTGGGAATTTGAAGAGTTTATATACTGTGTATATATATATATATGAGCACGAGTTTGAGAGAGAGTTATTCTGTTTCTACTAGCATAATAAATAAGTAAAATAAATAAAATATTAGACATCGCATACGTTGCTCTGATTCCAAATTAAATAACTCAAGCACTTGTTTTATGGAAATCGGAAACAACGATGTTACCACAAACACTCAGATCCGAGACAACATAGAAAAGGTAGTTTTCTTCATTGACTTGACCGGGTATCGAACGCGGGATCTGAAAGATGACGACATCATGAAAACCGGCGTGCTAGCCACTCGACCATGGAGGTCGTCAAATGATATTCATCTATTTCTATTTATTGTAATTAATTGGTACAAAGATCGAAAAACACAAAATAATCTTTCGACCAGGCTGTACTCGAACCAGCGACTGTTGCCTCAACGTGGCTACTTTAGTACACCCTGTTATTAATTTCAATATAAATACTACTACCATAAAGACTGATAATTTGCTGGCTGCAGTCATTAAAAGTATTCTAATTATAATTTTTTTAACTAGCATTATTAGATTTATCTTATCAAAAGGCATTCCTCAAATTCATGACAATAAATTCAACTGTAATAGATACTATGGACAAAATGATAAACCTTGATTCATCAAACAATAGATCCTGTACAGATAAAGTTACTTTAACGTTAAATACTAAGTCTTGTTGACGTTTTCATAGATTCCTTTTTACCTGGTATTAAAGCAGCTGCAGAGCCACTCAGAGCTTTAAATTGCAAAGGTCTGAGGGACACTGCCACGGCGCCTGCCACCTTGAGATGTAAATTGACAAATCTCATGTACCTGTAATTTCGCCAGCACCCATATAAGGTAATGCTCACATTGCAGCTTGGTGGTACAAACAGGAAGGTGGCAGTACTTCCTTGAATGGTATTGTCTTTGCTGTGTAAAAAATAACACATGCATAAACGTGTACATAAGTAGTTGTATTTGCAAGAGCTCAGAATTGTATATGTATTGGTTGGTTGGATTTTTTATTTATGGTTTATGGTTTAAGACATTTATTCTCACTAAGAATTAAACAATTCACTTACATGAGAACACAAAGAAGCTTAATATAAATATTTTTAGAAAACGTACTTAGGGACGGTAGTCAGCTAAAAAATTATAAAATTTTACCATCGTACAATTTTACTGACAGACAGACAACACATTCTCAGGTGCAAATGGCTAGCACCACCACAGATGTACTTCCAAACCACGCCCGCAAGCTATACTAGATGTGACATACATATATTAATATAGTTTCCGTATTAGAGTTTTATTTTTAACAAAAATGAAAATTTATTTGTTTTATATGTATATATGTTTACTTATTTATTTATTTTTTACTAGTAAAAGGTGTTTTAATGATTTTTATTATTATTTATTTATTTTTTATTTTTTTATTTTTTATTTATTTTAATCTATTTGTTTCATAATGTATTTAATAATACATTATATAATAATAATTTATTATTCAGTACTTTTTCGTATTTATTAGAAGAGTAAATTTAGGTTTAATTTTTGTTACTCAATATTCGAAATTACGTAGTATTTTAAAAGTTTTTTGAATGTAATTAGTGATTGTGTTTCTTTTATATCATTGGGAAGTTTATTATATAGTTGCGCTCCCTCAAATAAAATATTCTTTTTTCCATAATTTGTTCTTGATGGCCGCAGGACTAAATTATTTGCATTTCTTAATTGAATTTTTTGTATTTGTTTCTTTTTTGTGAAGGCTATTTGTGTATGTATATTTTTAGTTAATATTTTACGTATCAATAAACAAGTATAGTACATGTAGGTTTGGGTAACATTTAAAATTTTAGTATTTTTATATATATTCTTAGTAGGCGTACGGTAGTTATATCTAAACAGGACCTTTATTAGTTTGTTTTGTGCTCTTTGTATTGGGTTTAAGTTTGATTTTGCTGCTGAGCCCCAGATCTCAATCAAATAGTCAATGTGTGGTTTAATTAAAGAATTGTATATGAAGTAACACACTCTGCGTGGAAGACATCGAGTGATCCTCTTAAGGCTCCAGTAAGAGAGGATAGTTTAGATATTATTTTTTCAATGTGAGGCTTCCACGTCAGTTTGCTGTCAACAATGAGCCCCAAGTATTTTTCACTATCGATTCTATTTATTTTTAGGTTATTTAAAGTTAAGGGTTCGTAATCGGAGATTTTTTTGTTTTTTGCTTTGAAAATAATATAATTTGTTTTAGCAACATTAACAGTTAGAAGGTTATACTGGAACCACTCATTAAGTAATTTAAGATCATTTTGCGCATCAGCAACAATAGTTTCTATTGAACTTCCAAAGTAAAACAAACATGTGTCATCAGCATATAGAGTGACGTCACCTTTAAGATCAATTTCATGTAGATTATTTATATATATCAGAAATAATAAAGGTCCCATAATAGACCCTTGGGGTACGCCGTGACTAATAATTTTAGGTTGACTTTGTTGGTTTCCTATCCTTAAGACCTGTTTACGATTCGATAGGTAGGATTGTAGTATATTATACGCTGTTCCAGTTATGCCAGCTTTATTGAGTTTTTCCAATAATATGTCGTGACTCACGGTATCGAAGGCCTTTTTTAGGTCTATGAATATACCTAATGCTATATTTTTCTTATCCAGATTACATTTTAGCTTAGTTATAAGATCCATTGTTGCTGAGAGAGTGTTCGATTTCGGTCTGAAGCCATACTGTTTACTGTACATGAAATTAATAGAGTTTAAATATTTTTCAAATCTATTGTATAGAATCTTTTCAAAAATTTTAGACAGAATAGGAAGAACCGATATTGGGCGATAGTTTCCAGGATCAGTTCTATTTCCTGACTTGAAAATAGGAGTGACTTTTGCAAGTTTTAGGCTATCAGGAAATATTCCGAGTTCTAAGCATTTATTTATGCATGTTGTCAAATCTTCAGCGAGCACTTTTTTAACACATTTAATAGCTTTGGTACTAATACCATCAACACCTGAGGACGTATTACTATTCAATTTATTGCACATTTTAAGAACTTCCTCTGTGGTCGTTGGTGAAAGTTGTGATAGTGCCTGTGAGTGGTATTCAGTTGACAGGCTTGTTCTCGTATGATACTTCTTTGGTATTTCCTTTGCTAAAACCTTTCCTATATTTGAGAAATAATCATTAAAACATTCGCAGATTTCTTTTTCGTCAGTAATTATATCTGTACCTCTCAGCAATTTCGCTGGAGCAGTGGACTCTTTAACTTTGTTGCGAGAGAGGTTATTTATAAGTGACCACATTTTATTGGCTTTGTTTTTACAGTCTTGGAATGCTTTGTAATAGTATTCTCCTTTTAATTTTCGTATCATATTGACTACACTTTTCTTTTTCGTTACGTAATCTTCTTCTATCTTTTTGTTTTTTGGATTTTGTTTGTGATTTTGGTACATTTCATTTCTACTCTTTATTGCATCTAAAATTTCTTTCTTTATCCAATCTTGTTTCGGAGGATTAATTTTTTTGGTCTTAATCGTTTTGCTTGCGTTAATACTGTAAATTAAATTTTGTTCTAGAGTATTGTATTCACAGTCTTTGTTTTTAGTTGTATCATACGTATTATAAAGTTTTTCGTAGTCTATTGCATCGTACTTTACTGTCTTTATCGGTTCTGCTTTGTAATTCTTTACTTCGAAATAAATCTGTTTGTGATCTATAAAATGTATAAGTGCGCATTTGACTTCCATCTCATCTAGTAGAAAGTGACGATGAGGTCGATGATGGAGCGTGCACACCTAAATAATGCCTATTATCTCTCGCCTTGAAAAGGACCAAGTTATGGCATTCAGGGAATAAGTCTGCAGACAGGGAATTCCACTCCATAGGCGTTCGCCACATAAATGTGGAATGTGGAAGCTTAACGCTTTTTGCAAATCTTTGGAATATCCACAACATAGGGGTGGAACCCAAGCCTACGTCTAGTCCCCCGGAGATGGAAAGGGGAAGGCGGAATTAAATCATGCAATTCCATCGCACACTTTCCGCGATATATATCCTATAGAATATGGATAAGCAGGCAACTTTACTTTCGGTTTAATCCAAGGTGGCCAGCAGCAGTACTTGTCCCGGTGTGAAATAACGCCTCACCGTAGAAAGGGAACTGTGTGTAGATGTACAGAAGACTTTCTGGTTGTATTTGTGGTTTATTTGTAAATGGATAAGTTCTCGCTAATACCTTATCACTATACTACGCTAATTCTACCGTGTGACCGGTACTTATTGCCATTAAACTTTTTCATGAACTCCTAATGTTCCACGAAAACTTAGCGTTAACAATTATTACTAAAAACCATTTGTAACAGAAATTGTTGCTAATCTATTAGGCTTATCGTTTTTAGGAATAGCGATATGTGGTCATTGTATTTTTTTTGTTTTGACATCATATTAGCGAGCAAGTGTGAATCACGTATTTAAGTTAAAATGCGGCACGTGGCTGAAACAGATCACCGCGTATCCTTACGTTTGTAATTATCCTATGACATGTGCACTGTTAAATTATAACCAATTGACTTTGTAGATACCAGCGGCAGTATTAATAGTGCTTTTAGGAGTATATCTGCTCCTGGCGTATCTGACACAGCTGGTGGAAGATGACATGCCCCGGGTGATTAATGAATTGGATGTCGCCAAAGATGTGAGTCTTTCGTTATTCTTTTTAGACTACAAAATCCTGCTCACCGAGAACTGAAATAATCCTTATATTGAGGGGACCTGTATTGAACAGAGGCTGTCTTCTGGAAGGGTTAAAGTAATTGTACACTACGGTGGCTCAATGCCTTTGGGGCTGCCCAAGTCTTTAAAATTTGCTTGGAAACGCTCGCCTTCAATGTCAATGTAGCTTATGATGGCTGTCTGTTTGAAAAAATACCTACTCACTCTAGCTATGGAAAGGTCTCAAATGTAGTTTTCGGGTAGTGCCTTCCATTTCTTTGCAGAACGTATTAGGAGCAAAGCATTACGTGCGAATGGGGTTTCTGTCACCGTTAAAGCAAGTAGTATTAATATTTTAAACTATACTCACCGAAAGATTCAGAGTCTGGGTGGACTATCACTACTACCGATCGGAAATAAGGGAGTTTATTTAACTAAACAAAAGAATAACGTGGTCATTCCCTTCTACAAATCCCGGGACGTCTCGGTACTGATTATACTTAAATATGCGTGTTATTTATTGAAATTTCAGTACATTAGCGACAAACTATTGACCCCTATTAAGTGTTTACTTCAAATCATTAAGTAATTCATTAAGTAAGTTGTCAAAACGGCTCGGCTCTGCAGTGTACGCGATTAAAAAAATAAGGAAACTTTCAGACGTCGAAACCGTTAGATTGGTTTACTTCAGCTACTTTCACAGTCTAATGACATATGGCATTTTGCTTTGGGGTAATGCTGCCGATATCAATAGAATCTTTGTCCTGCAGAAACGTGCAGTTAGGGCAATTTACAATCTGGGCCCCAAAGTATCTTTGAAAGATAAGTTTAAGGAAAATATAATTTATGTTAAAAGGAATAGTAATTTCTTTATGAAAAATAGTGACAGACATAACATTAATACGAGGAATAAAAATAAACTAGCTTTTCTTGATAGTCGTCTTCACAAAGTCAAAAAATAATTTAAGGGGCAATGTATACGCTTCTATAACAAGATTCCGGTTGATATACAAAATTTGCCTTTCACGAGTTTTAAAACTATAGTGAAACAAAAACTTTATTATACAACTTCTGCGTACTTGAATGACAAAAATCCGTGGTAGTAACCCGTTTAGCTCATGGAGGTAGTCTCAATCTGATGTTTCAAATAAAAAAAAAATATTGTAAATGTTATTTACAAAGAGCAACCCCTAGAGTTTCTTGCTCATTCTTCTCAGGGGAATCTGCCTCACGAATGAGCGGTAGAGTTTAACCATTGTGACGATTTCAAGTGTAATAATGCTTACCTATGAAATAAAGATTATTTTGAATTTTGAATTTTGAATCATTGTCTCTATGTATATGTGTAATATTTTGATTTTTTTGTAGAGGTACTTACATACTTTAGATACAAAAAGTATTTAAATACTTTAGCTATTTAAAAATAAAAAGTTAGAAAAAGGAAATTTTACATGCATTGATGACGAAATTATGTCTGTGTTAAGGCTACGCCATACTTTAGGTAAACTACTTTCAGAACTCCGAGACTTTCAGTGAAGAAGCAGCATGGCGTTACCTACACATAATACAAGGCACCGAGCCGCGCGTGTCCGGGACAAAGTATCACCTGCAGAAGACAAAGGTCCTCAAGGATCTTCTAGACTCCATCGCTGAGCAGTCTAATTTGCTTATTAGAACTGATTGGCAAGTGGTTTCAGGTACTCTGTATTTAATTTTTCTTTACAATTCCAAATAGTTATATGTATTACCTACCTCCATGATTGTTTGATTCCTATTGAAACTTATCCAACTAAAAGAAAGAAAGAAAATGATATTTGTTTGGTCTCATGCTCTCGTAAGTTGGAAAATGTACAATTTTAATAGCATTTTTAGTAGCAACAGTACTCTATGTGAACGAAATCGTCCAGTGATGTACTGCCACTATACCCCTTTCATTGCATATAACTTGGAATGAATAATTAAATTCATAACAATTTAAGTTTATGATTTCATACTAAATTTCTAATTGCAATTGGATTATATTAGAATATTAATTGCTACATAATGGTGATTTACTATTTCCTTATGTAAAATTATTTTCCTTCCAGGCGACTACTGGCTGACATTATCCATACCATACGTGAATATGTACCAGAATGTATCAAACATTATCGCTTTGTTAGAAGGCGAGAGTGGGCTTCATCCCAATGGTACCATCGGGACTTCCTTACTAGTCAACTGCCATTACGACTCTGTTCCTTTCGCACTAGGTAAGTTGAGGACGTAATACAGCGCCTTGTAGGACCCCAGACTTTTAAGAAGCCTTCAAGGCAAGTGAACCTTTTAAGAAGCCTTCAAGGCAAGTGAACC